CTGCAGTACATTACCTTAATACCATAAACCAGCAATGTGCCAAATTTTAACTATTATACAAGATTGGAGCATCGAGGAGTCTAAGCAGTAACTACAAGCCTTGGCTAGACTACCCTTTCTAAAAAGCTACATCAGCAGCTCACTAATTGCTATACCAATAAACAGGAAAAACACTTCCTATAACCATCTCATAAATCACCTTATTGTTACTACTTCTACTTCATGACTTCTCAGTATTTAACATCCTTATTTAAGGCTGCTTCTTCGTACTTAACTAACTAGTAGTATAGGAGGACCCAAACACAACACCTTGTAAAAATTCAAGCATCCATACCACAGGGAGGTGCAGAGGGAAAGAAGAAAAAAAAAAAAAAAAGAAAATAAATTTAAAAGGATATTCACAAACAGCAGTAAATAACTATAGTCCTTGCTCTAGAGTCCTCTTCAGACACAGGCTAAATTGTTCAAGCAAATGCTAAAGGATTCTCTGATCCATATTACTTCTCTTTGTGACACATTTGCCGGCTCTTGCCGATTTTATCAGGAGATTATGAGTATTTGCTGCAACTTCAAATACAGGGAAAGTGGTGTTCTGGGAAAAAGATTGTTTCGACTCTAGGCATCATATAATTCTGTCAGAAGAGGGCCAAATGCTTATTGTTCCTTCACTTGGTGATTTATTTTGTGCACAGGATGGCTTAGTGTCAAAATACATCTCAATCTGAAAAAGTCTAAAAAAAATTATTATTATTATTAGATAGAGAGGTGCATTTTGCTAATATGTTCAGACTCAAAGTAAAAATAATTTGTTAAAACAAAACACAGCTATTGGATTTTTCTCCTGAAGCAAGCTTCAGCTGCAAGATCCTTCAGCTGAGAAAGCCAAATTCAAAATTCCTCTTTTAAAAAGCTATGTTTTCAGAACTACTTGAAGGATCTGAAATCAAATTAACCCAGTGCCTGAATCACTTTTGACTATTCTGGTCCTAAGCACTTCACAAGCTGAGCAGAGGCAGCAACACCTGACCAAACTCACAGCAAGCAGGCTGGAAGAACATACAGCCTCAGAGAGTTTCAGATCCCACAGAAACCCTGAGGCTGTGGCAGTGTCCCATATTACACTACTGAAATTTCTCTTCTTACCTCTGTGTTCCCAAGTGATCCTTGGTACTGGGCCAAATGCTACTGCCACTTCCAGTAACAAACCCCAAACTGCATAAAAAGCACACAGAGCCATCTTCAGTGTCCTTGCTCTTCGGTGCTCCTTGGATAACTGCAGCAGGTAGCGTTTCTTCGGCAGAAGAAATGCAAATCCCACAGAGTATTAGAGGCCAGGCATTTCAGACCTTGAGAGCAGTGCAACAAGTCAGGCTGGAACAACCGTACAAGTACACGCTTTTCAGTAGATCACTTCTTCAAGAGAACACACATTTTCCAGGATGCTGCATACAGAGCCTGCCCACACTCTCCACAGGCTGTGGAGCTGCTGAGAAGTGCAACTGAGCACATTCTTCTCTTTTGCTGAAGAAATAAATGATGCTGCAGAGAGAGGAGGGGAGCAAGAAGTAGAAAAGAAAGCAAACCAAGTGCTGCCAAAAATAGCATGTTGTATGTACTGATCTTGCAATACTTCTACAGCTGTCTGCATAGCTTAATTTGAATAAAGAATACATTATTTAGTGAAAATACAACTCTTAAAAACAAGCTACACATTACATGGCAAACAGGCCATAACTGAAAGCAATCACTTCCACCTAGAATGCGAAATATAAATATTTTGAACTTCCACTTATGTTTAATACACAAAATTCAACTCTAGTTTGCATATTTTCTTACTTTTAATAGTGAGTCAGAGAAAATCCCACCTCTCTGATAAATGATAAACCAAGATAATAAATATCACTATGGCTAAGTTCAGAGAGCAAAGGACATGAGAAGTGCAACATTAATCTTAAGTGTCTGTTATACAAACGTGCTGCACCTCCCATCCTTGGGATCTTATGAACAGAAGTGTCATTTTTAGCAAAGCCTTTTCATGCTACTAATGCACTCAAAGTGTGTGTGGGTAGAAAGAAATTCAGCTATGGAAAGCAAGGGCTAATCCACCGAGTACAAAAACAAAGGGAGAAAATGCTTAAATAGGAAAACTCCTAGATAGTCCTATGAAAGTCACTCTATCTATGAGGCACCCATTACTCTCAGGCCCAGAAAGGGCTCTGGCCTCAGCAATCAACAAAACCATTCACCAGCAATCAACAAAACCATTCACCAGCAATCAACAAAACCATTCACCACTTTCTACACCATCTTCCACGAGTCTCCGCTGCTCCCATCTTCCTGCAACGACTCCTAGGTCAAGGCTCTCCCAAGTATTTACCACGAGAAACAAGTTCCAGATTAAGCTCAGCTCCATCAGTGTTCACTGGCTTTGATTAGATTTGAGTGCTTTGCATTTCTGGAAAGTTAGGTCTCTAATGCTTTAGGTTTTACTCCTAAAAATGAGCTAAAACTTGCTTGAAAACAAGAATGTTTAAGAAGTAAAGCAGAAAGACTTGAAATGCTTAGTTACATAATTAAACTCTAATTAAAAGTGACCACAGGTCTATTTTTCTGTTTTCTGTGAAACTACTGAAAATTTTCTGAGGTAAATTTAAACCAGTAGTTTTAATTTAGGCACTCTGCTGCTTATGATTTTATACCAATGTATAATGACGAACTGGAGCAAAGTAACATGTAGACAACTTGCATGAGTCTTCCATAATGCTTGTATTTATGGTGACAAAAAACAGGGCAACTACAGAAGAAGAAACAATTAACAGAGCTCATGTCAGTTTGGCAGAGCACAGATGGAAATTCAGAGCTGTGAACACTCCCATTAACATTCATAATTTTAGTGCACAGGCAGAGAAACAGGAAGAGTCAAGTTTCTGATCTCTCAAAGGACAAAATATCAAAACTGGTACAAAGAAAAATTTCAGGCTGCCTAAGTGCTAATAAGGAATACTAGCACGCATTACGAAAGTAGGGAGTTGCGATGGCGCATCCTGACTGTTACCAAGACTGAAAAACATATAGTTCCAACGTCCATGTCAGTGAGCATCAAAGAAACAGTGCTCCAGTCCACCTACTAGAAAAATGCAAAATGCTAGCCCTGCAATGGGACAAGCTGAGAAACCAACATCGGAAAGGAAACTGCCATTTTCCCCATCCTCCAGGACACAGAGGCAAAGTAAGTAACAAGCACAAAGAGGTATTTGTGAACACATAATGTCATTTTCCAAAGATATCAATTCAGAAACCTTTATCAGTAACAAATTAGGTTTTTGGTAAGTAATAAAATGGAACATTAAAAACTACAGGTCAGTGCCTTCTCCCTCAGTCAGCATGATAAGGCTGGATTCAAGTGTGCATCTTGTATGTGTGATACTTGCACAAGCCATCTAAATTCTGGAATTTCAAAGTTAGGAAATGCCCAGTTTTGCAATCCTGGTTTTGAAATCTTTTTTTTCCTTCTAGTAACTACTTAGTTGCATTGTGCAACTTCAGAATTCTGCTCAGTATTACAAACATCGCTAAATGGATCTACCTTTATCTTCTCTATTAAGGTTAAACCCATATTGAGAATCTACTGACACACACACCCATAGCAGTCAGCGTTAACAGCTGGGATCATTGTGATTCTGAAGAAATTATCATTAGCATCACAAGAGTATCCAGTCTCTCCCTGCACCAGACGGGCTGTGGCCCTCCTGCCCTAATCCTGTCACCATTTTCCTGATTCCCCAGGCACACAGTGCCCACATCGTTTTCCTCCCATTTTGTATTGCACTTCATTCTCCTCCCCGGGGTTCTCTTCTCGCAATCCTCCACCTACTCTGTGCTTATGCTCTCATCTGTGGTACCGCCTCCTCCTCCTCCCCAACACAAGCAGTGCACAACTTTATGACCACAGGTGATGCAAGCCCCGGCAAGGCTGCCAGACAAAAGACCACCTTCCTTTGGGCTAGAAGGAAGACCTTCTAACATATACACTTCCCTACCTCTCCATGAAATAATTTTCACATGCTTGCTGCCCAAGTACAGCAAATGAGGGCCTTGCAGTAAGCAACAACCAACTGCAAGGCACCCTCCCTTCCCCCTGCTGGGAGAAAAAAACCACAGGTTTCCCAGGCAGCCTACCCTGCTATTTTCAGATAAAAAAAAAAAAAAATTATGCATTTGTAGAACTTGTAAGTTACTATGATGAGGGATAGGAAGCTCAATATGGAGAGACAGGCAAATTTATAAGCAAATTGCTTCCTCCAGCAGAAAAGGTGGGAGTTAAAAGATTCACCTGTCAGAAGGCATAAATCGCAAGTTCTCCCAAAATAAGTTTCTTCAAAGACTTTTGAAAGCTTTAACAGAATACAGACCTGCTTCAATGTTTATTGATGCCCATTTGACAACAAGGATTTTAAGGCTTCATACATGAAAAAACAGACCACAGAACTCCCACTTTGAGATTTCGCTTAAACCGGACTTTTTCAATTTGCCCAAAGTTTTGTTTCCAAAAATAGAAGAAAAAGTTAGCAATGCTTGTATTTTAAGCAATCAAAATTACACAGTAAGAAATGTGCAATTTATCTTTAGCAGTTGAGTTTTAGTTACATAGTTCATTTATTTTAGACCAGTAAGGACAGGCTGCATATATCCTTTGCTTTAGTTCTCACCCTTTAAAACCTCAAGTACAGTGCCATTTTTAGACTGTCTCACCAAAAACATAATTTTTACACTATTTTTCTTACTATGCAATACATATGAACTTGCTTTCTGCTGAGGTAAGTTAAAACCTCAAACTAGCTGACCAGTAGCCCTTTATGACTAACATACATGTAGAGCACAGGATCATTTCAAACTGTACTCAAAATACTTTGTAGTTTCTAGGTGCAAATTAGATGAAGCGTTTTAAGATAATTTGATGTGGTCTTTACCTCCACCACAAAGCCTGCTGGAGGATGTGCACTAGTGTTAAAAGAGGATAAAAATTCTGAAGAAACTGAAATTCCCAGTTTTAGGCTGAAATCTTCAGTGAAGACAGAAATGTATTATTTTCCTGATTTTGCATTATAAATATGCCACCAGGTAGTACTCAGGAAGCTAATAGTTGAGCTTAAAGCAGTGAATATTTATAATCTTCACTTTTTTTTTTTAAACTTGCATTCCTGGTTTGGTTTTTTTGGTGGTTTTGGGTTGTTTTTGTTTTTGCTTGTTGGTTGGTTGTTTTTTGGTTTTTTTTGTTTTTTTTTTTTTTTTTACAAAGATGGCAAGAAAACAAAGTATTATGCCAAAAAAACCTTCCAAAGATTACAAGACAACAACTAGGAGATTAAGATTCTTATTTTTCAGATTATGGGTGGATTGTTATAAATATCACATTAGTATTAAATTCCAAAGAGCAACATGAAAGCGTTTGCTTCTGCTTGCTTTGTCTTTCAGAAAAAGAAAGCTAACTCTAGCATGTTGGACAAGTTGACCTCTAAGCTATCAGAGGTTGTAGGCATTGTAGCCTGGCTGTGTAGAAGCAAATTAAACCAAAATTATTAATGTAAAACTACAAGGATGATCAGTGGACCCAACCACAGCTGCAGTGCCAGCACCTTCTGCTAACTTGGACGCTAAGCTATCCCAAATGCAGAATTCAAGACCTGCCCAGGGGAAAGATGTGGTTTAAGATCCTTCTCTGCCTCACTGGGTTCTCCCAGATATTGAACCTGGGTTGTGATAGTGTCAGTGCTGCAGCGAGAACTGTTCAAACGACCAAGAAATAAAAGTCCCTGAAATTCCAAATCCATCTTCCCCTACCACTTACTTAAACATACTACCACAATACAAAATATCGCTCAGCTTCTTCCTCATCTCTTCTCGGGCTCACAGGACTCAGTCAGTCAAAGTTATTTGAAGATGCCTACTGGCAAGTACCAGCACTCGCAGAAGTACCTGCATGTCTAAATCAACAGGCACACATGCTTTTTTAAAAAACAAAACAAAAAAAAAAAAAACCACAACAAAAAAACCCCCCAAACCACTATCCTAAGGGTCCCGCAACACTTCCAAAGATACAAATGTCTCTGAAAGCAAGCCCAGAACCCCCTCAACTGCGTACCATAGGAGGGCTACAATCCTGAATGGGGCCTTTCCGTGGTAACTAAACCACAGGTAAACACACAGTATGTTCCCAAGAGAACAAAGTCCCTTTCTTGATAACTTTCTTCAGAAGTATTCTGGTCTTGAAGCAAAACAAAGTGAATAAATCAAGCTTACCATGAAATCCTGATTTATGTTTTCCCATATGAATTAAGTCCCTAGTGTTCTTGCAGTGTATTTGTTTTATTAACAGACACCTGTAACACAGCCACCACGAACCCACCACAGCCCCCGTTATTGCGGGGGGCATACCACTAGTTTCCCTGTACATACCTGCCACCTCTTGGAGCTTCCCACAC